TATACATACATACCCCGCCCATCTGGACCGAAGTCTGCTGTCAGCGGCTAACAATAAAAATGGAATAAAAACTAATAGACTTTAGCTCCCAGTTAAACTGGCTTGGGAGGAGCTGAACCAGTTTAATAACAGGATCCTAAACATACCTACAGTATTTAGAAGTTAGTCGCAGATAAGTTTGTATAGGTTTGCGGCCAAAATGGTGTAGGAATGAAGCAAGGCGAATCGTTCTCACCTTGTATTTAGCAAGAACAGAGACTTAACAATGCAATCTTATGCATTTCTACATAAAAGTAAACCCCACTGTATTCAGTGGGACTCCCACTTAAGCATTTGTAAAGACTGCAGCCTTAAAGACAGGAGAAAAGGGCTTTTAAAGCTTAAATGGGTGGTAAAAAACTGATCAGATCCTTGAAATGTTTTCATTGTACATGGAATTAACATTCTAAGAATGATTTCCGAGGACAAAGCAGAAATTTCCGGGGGTGGCGTTAGGGAGAGGCGATAGCCCTGATCGTGTGTCACAGTAAAAACATTGAAGAAACGTTGAGTTCAAGTTTCATTTGGCGTGGGCTTTGGTGGACTTCAAAATAAAACTTGCTTATTCTGAAGATGCCTCAATACTTTTGTTAAAATTTAAGCAGGTGTACTTAAGTGTCTTTGTAGGAGGGGGGGAAACGCTGGTGTCCCACTCAAGCCCTCCCCTCCAGCAAGGGAAGCATAACTTGGGAAGACCAGAGTGCTCCTGAGACAGTACAGAAGTCCTGTGACTAAGGGCAGGTGCTCTCCCTCTGCTTATGGATTAGCACGGTTAAAGCCTCCGAGTATAGAAGGCATGCATCTGGCCGTGTGCTACACAGGTCTACTCGGGGGTCCAGTGCGTTCAATGGGATTTACTCCCTAATAGACTCCCCGGTAGGCTCGCGTCCCTCCGTGAGTGATGGTTGTTAGCCTCCTTTTGTCCCTCTGCAAAGCGTCGACACGTTTGTCCTTCCCACGCCTGTATCTCTTTCCTGCTAGCCTGTGTGGATACTCTTCCTTTGAGGGGGAAAGAACCCCTTTCAAGATTTCTATTTAACTTTGCCCAATATCCAAAGTAAGAGGGCAGGCCTAGCGGGGAGAAAATCTCTCTTTCTGTGTGTGTGTCTCTCTCTCTGATAGTTTCGGGAAAGAAAGCTGGAGCAGCGCAGATTAGCATCTTGTGTCCCAAACAATTAGCGGCGTTTGGCTCTTCTATTCATCAGGTCCCCGCTTTTGTTAAGGAAAGGATTTTTCATTAAAAGGGGAAGAAGGGGTTGCGGGGGGGGGCGGGGGAGGGAGAGAGAGAGAAAGAAAAGAGCGCACGCGAGAGTAGCAGTTGTCCATCTGGCTGGGAGCTGAATAGCCAACGTGATCCATGTTGTAGATGTTTTTCTCATTAAGTGCTCTTTGGAGACCGCGCTTAGAATGAAATGGCATAACACAATTAACATACACGGGCCTTGAATGGGAAGGGTAAGCAGAGTAATAATGGATAGATAAATAAAATGAGAGATCAGGCGGAGGTAAACAAAAGAGTGGAGGAGAAAGGCTTTGAAAGGCGAGGTTAGAACGGCTGAACCACGCTTGTTTAGCATGACAAAAAAGGTGTGTGCGTGCGTGTTTGTGTGTGTGCATCGGGGTGGGGAGGATGGAGACAGAGGGACCCACTTAGAACTGGGCACAATTAAGACCTGGCTTGACGTGGTGGTGGGTAGGGGGGCGGTAGAGGGTCCAGTACGCATGGGGAGAAAGAGCGATGAACGCGCCCCAGAGCGGAGACGCAGTGGCTGCTGGTTGGGCAGGCGGGCTGATTTAACCCTAGCTGACAGTTGCTGTCAGGCCCCGTGATAACACTCGTAGCTCAGTGTCCTTTAACATCTCCCTAGATTAGGCTTAACGCCGGCCTCAGGTACAGAGGCGGCTGACTGCCACCAGCTGTCTTCCTCCCTAGAGATTTGGGGAAAGAGAGCCCGGACTCCAAGGAGTAGCCATTGGTCATTACAAGTGCATCTACCAATAGTTACATTGTGGTTGGTTTGTGCTAGAACCCATAAAGACTCATGTGTGGTTGTTAAGGGAACATGGCAGGGGCAGTTAAGCATGCAAGACTGTAATTGATGGAGTGAGACAACAGTTCCCCAGTGCTTTCGGTTCTGGATTGGATCTGGATTTCTCTCTCTCTCTCTCTCTCTCTGTGGTGAATTAAAAGCTCCTTAGAGAAAAGAGACCCCCTCCCCACCGACAACTTATTCTCCAACTTGTTTTTTTTTTTAAACTGGACACGAACCCCAAGAGTTGTCCCTGCTCAGGTTTGGTTTGCAACGTGGACCCGGGTGATAGGAAAGGAGAGCCGGGGTTGCCAAGCGATCACCGTGGCCATCAGTTGGTTCGATGACAGGAGAGACTCATCCTTTTGTGGGAGGGCGACGGGGGCGGGGGGGGGGACACGGGTTGGTGATGGCTGCCTGTGCGCGCGCGGCTTCATAAAAGATTTGGCCACCACCCCTCAAATCAGCGGAGGGCTGAAAGCGACATTTCACTGTAGCCGCACATAATATTGGCATTTATTTGCATAATAATTGTCCCGTTGGCTTCAGGGAGTGAAAGGCGAAGCAGGTACACTGAGGAACTGTGTGTTTCTTCAAGCAATTTGCGTTAGGAGGACGCAGTTTTTCTCATCATACTGGACTCTGTCGGGAAGAATGGGACTCTCCCAGAGCAAGGTTGCTTATGCAGAGATACGGCTGGTCGCTGAAACCAGCCTCCAAATATATTTATTCGAAAGTACTGTATTGTTTTAGAAAAATTCAGGGGAACTTTTGAGGTGATCTGAGTCCTACAAAGGTATCTCCCCCCACCAAGATGTATTGTTAGGGTTAAAGAAAGTCAGGGAAATTCAAAGAATAGACACGAGGGACATGATCAGAATCGCTATAAGCTAATATTTTAGTGGTTTCTCACTTCGCCCCGGCAGAATCATGTATGACTCACAAATTCACCGATTTGGTTCTAAGGTCCGATTCATCGCCTAGAAATCAATATCGAATTAAATTAATTCAGGATAGTGAGAGGATGGCCTTATGTTTGACGAACCAGAGACTCTGGCTAGCCACAGACAGGGAGAACACCTGAGGACTGCCTCGAAACTTCAGCCGCCCCATCTCTCTCTCCCCCTCCCTGCAGCATCATCCCATTCCTTCCGCCAAATCACGCCTTCCGACCGGTTTCTTCATTTGCAGGTGTGTAGCTATTTTTATGCGTGCAGAGATAAATGTATTAAATAACCGCCATGACACCGAAATGAACCGATTACTGACTTTGATGTCAAAAAGAGAAGGAGTGCAAAAGGAGGAGCGAGAGGAAGGCGGCGGCGGCGGCGGCGGCAGGGGTGTTGTAGATTCCCTAAAGGCAGAGACAGCAGCTCCTCGTCAAACCAGTTTCCCCACAACCGC